GCAAGTCAAGCTGTGTTCCTCTGCAGTTTACAAAGTCTGGAGGCAAGAAGCAGAATTTGAGGACAACTCCAGTTCACTGCTATTCTCAGGAAGAAGGAAGATTTCTCCCTTGAAGCTGGCTGAAAACAGATGAAGAGTCTGCTCTATCTTGCACGAGCTCCATGTGCGGGTGCTTTCCTTGTGCCAGAAATGCTCACCAGAATCAAAGCAACCTTGCAGAGCTGGTCCATGAGCTGGGCTTAGTGTGAAGTTTGTGGTCTCTGCTTTAGTCCTTCAGAAAAGACCCCGCACCTGAAAGCCTGAACCCTTTTCTGTGTTCAAGAGCTGTGTGTAAGAAGTAGTAGGATGTCTTTCCAGGAGGCCAAGTGATGATGGTCAAGTGCTTTGCCAAGCAAAAGCTCAATCTTGGCAGGAGGAGCCAGTCTGGAGCCATCCCGAGTTACCTGAGTAGGAACAGTGTCCTGAACTGGAAGCCAAGCACCAACTGCACCTTGCAAGGGTTGCATTTCAATCAAGGGTGTTTGGATGTTTTTTGGGTTTGTTTTTTTTTTAGCTCAATCTTGGCAGGAGGAGCCAGTCTGGAGCCATCCCGAGTTACCTGAGTAGGAACAGTGTCCTGAACTGGAAGCCAAGCACCAACTGCACCTTGCAAGGGTTGCATTTCAATCAAGGGTGTTTGGATGTTTTTTGGGTTTGTTTTTTTTTTCCTCAGGAAATTGTGTGTGATATTATTTGGGTGAATGACAAATATTACTCCTTCTCTAGAATTGGAAACTAAAATTTCTGACTGTTTTTTCTTAATTAATGAAACTTTTTGCTCAACTCTTTCACATGCAGAGGCCACCTATGCCTTTGCAGGCAGAGCTTAGCTGCTACAATACTAACTACAGGAAGTGATATTCAATAAAGGGAGGACACTGCAGCAACCTACTTTCTGAATAAGATGCATAAAAAGTCAGCAATGGAAAGAGTGTTTCCTGACTGCCAGGGAAGCCAGACATTGATCTTGCAGGAGGTGACTGGTGGTGTCAGCTCTTACTCTGCCTGGTCTCTCTTCCTCACTGCCCTTCAGATGAAACTGTTATTCCTTACTAGCATTTCATGATGAATGGACTTGCATGACATTTTTAGAGCTGCTGGTCAGGAAATGTTGACTGAGTGCATGCTTGTTTGCTATCAATGAGGAAAATACCCAAACAAACTCACAGTGCTTCCCTCTTTCTTGTTTCAGCCCATGGTGCACACTGATGTGCAGTCCATTGAAGGAATATTGAAGGTGGGTACTCTTCAATAGCACATCTCCATGGGAAAGCCTGTACAAATCCATGGGGGAGGGGGATCCCTCTGACTCTGGGAAGGTGAAACTCCCTCTGTGTCCCTGAGGAAAAACTCCTGAGAGCTGCTTCTCTCTCTCTCTCTCTTTGCAGGAAATGAGCAGCCCCCTGTCACCTCTCCTGCCATCCCTTCAGTCACCTGAGAGAACAGAGACTTCCAAATTTCCTGTGCAGGCAAAGGTAACCCAGCCCACTTTTTTCAGGGCTTGCGATAAATGACAAGAGATCTTTGTGCTGAGCAGAAGTTCAGTCTTGGCTCTGAAGGAGCCTGCCTGGAGACCTGCCTGAGTTCCCTGACCATAAACAATGTTGAGAGTAGGAAAACAAGCAGAAACTGCACCTTGTGTGGGGTTGCATTATACCCAGGTGGTTTTGGGTTTTTTTGTTGTTTTCTTTTTCTTTTTGTTTTTTGTTGTTGTTTTTTTTTTTTTTTTTTTTTTTTTTTTTTTTTTTTTTTTTTTTTTTTTTTTTTTAC